TTCATTAAAAGAATAGGGACTTGAAAATGTGACTTGGAAAATTGGGTCCAAGTTGCAAGTCAAGTCCAAGTCACTGGAAAAAAGAGTTGAGTCTGAGTCGAGTCACCAGTGCGACTTAAGTCAGACTTGACAGCGAGTCACAGGACTTCCATCCCCATCCCTGGGTATTGAAGAAGAAGAAGAAGTCTGGGTTTACAATGACCTTCATTAAAAGAATAGGGACTTGAAAATGTGACTTGGAAAATTGGGTCCAAGTTGCAAGTCAAGTCCAAGTCACTGGAAAAAAGAGTTGAGTCTGAGTCGAGTCACCAGTGCGACTTAAGTCGGACTTGACAGCGAATCACAGGACTTCCATCCCCATCCCTGGGTATTGAAGAAGAAGAAAGCCCCCTGTGGTCTCTTCAGATTCTGATACCATGCTGGGTTCTGACAGTGTTGCATCCAGAGTGATTCATAATGCTTAAAAAATCAAATAGGATCAAAAGCAAAATAAAACTAGGTGCACAAACATGGACGGGAAAAGGGATATTCATCAGGGCACCATCACAAAGATGCCCCAGCTCCATCATACCATAATCCTTACCTCCATAAGGGGTGACCCGTAGATTGAACTTTCACTTGCCCAAAGAAGAACCCACACGAAAAAGTTGTGAGATATTAGCCTACACCTAAGTCCTTATAATAAAAGTAATAATTGTGTACCATCAAGTCAGTTCTGACTTATGGAACTGGAGAAAACAAGTCAATCATTTCAGAGCATAGGAAAGTATCCTTATTGGTTGGCTCTTCTGAAATTTTTACTCCCTAAAGGTAAATGCTCAGGCTCTGATTTTTCCCCAAATGAGATGCTGACTGAAATTCTGTTTCTTAGTGTAGTGAATTACACTAGAGTAGGCCTATTGAATTAATTGGGATTTTGTGAGAACTCTTCTATAGGTCCCATTGATTCAAATGGGCCTATCTTAACTGAGACATACTGCAGGCCCATTGAATCAATGGGGATTTGGTGAGTGATCTCCTCCATCAGTTCCATTGATTTCAGTGGGCCTACTCTACCTGCGACTTGCAATGCTAAAGTAAGTTGTTCAAATGGGCCTATCTTAACTGAGACATACTGCAGGCCTGTTGAATCAATGGGGATTTGGTGAGTGATTTCCTCCATCAGTTCCATTGATTTCAGTGGGCCTACTCTACCTGCGATTTGCAATGCTGAAGTAAGTTGCAGTTAAAGTAGGCCCATTGGAATCAATGGGACCTATTGAGGAGTTCTCACCAAATCTCCATTGATTCAATGGGCATAGTCTAGACCACTGGTTCTTAACCTTGGGTTACTCAGGAGTTTTGGACTGCAACTCCCAGAAGCCTTCACCACCAACTGTGCTGGCTGGGGTTTCTGGGAGTTGCAGTTCAAAAACACCTGAGTAACAAAGGTTAAGAACCACTGGTCTAGACTCTAGAAAGATTTATCTCCATTGATTCAATGGGCATAGTCTAGACTCTAGAGAGATTTACTATACTAAGTAAAAAGATTTTGGGCACTAAGTTGTGGTTGCCACCACCTTCCTGTCTTGTCCATTTCTTCCATCCTTCATTCCCTTGACCTCATAAGTTTCACCCACTGACTCATCTGGATTTTGATTTTTGTGCAGGTATTGTTGGTCAGCGAGGTCTGCAGTCATGCAGATATGCTTTGGCAGGAGGAAAGGTTTTGTCAGTCAGTTGATGCTGTCACAACAGGACTCAAGCATGCTTACCTGTGGTGGAGAAGGCAGGAGCTCCCCCAAAAGTCAAAGGTTTCGGCTCAAGTTGGTGCCTCCGTACTGCAAACCTCCCTGCCAGCTTTCTGATGGCCTCTGTGCCATCTACGCTGACAACAGAGTTGATAAGGAGAATGCTCTCAGAGACATGCAGACATGTGGAATATTACAGAAGTAGAAAATTCAAAACCAGCATGCATTCACTACAGATTATGCCATTGAAGGATATATAAAATCTCTCTCCCTCTCCTTTCTTCTCTCCCTCCCTCCCACCCTCCCTCTCTCTCTCCATATATATATATATGAAAGACATCACCACTAAAATTTCCAGCAGCTTAAACAGCTTGATAGACTCTCTAGTCATTCTGCCATCCATGCCCCCAGCTATGTTGCTTAGCAACATTTTAATTCAAGAAGAATGGAAAGAGATGAAATCCCTGTGGAGAGAGAAACAGAAATAAGAGGGCCGTTGACAGATGATCTGAGTTGTTTCTTCTAATATACTGTGAAGATCACCAGCTCTTTTCATGAATGATAAATGGACTGTATACAGATCAATGGATTTTGCAATAAACTGGAACCAGGTTCTGTATCTGCGGCAATGCCGACCGAGAGGCCTGGGTAGTTACTCGGTTTGGAGGTTTGGAGTGTGTTTTCTCAAAGGTTTTACAGGAAGAAATTTATCTGAACATTTGGTCATCCCTTGCCCTTTTCTGTGGTTGGCTAGTAAAAAAAATGGCTTTGGAAAGTCTGTTTCATACGTAGGTAGGTAGGTAGGTAGGTAGGTAGGTAGGTAGGTAGGTAGGTAGGTAGGTAGGTAGGTAGGTAGGTAGGTAGGTAGGGGTAGGTAGGTAGGTAGGTAGGTAGGTAGGTAGGTAGGTAGGTAGGTGAAGGGAGGGACGGACAGACGGATGGACGGACGGATGGACGGACAGACGGGAACAATTAAAATTAATTTTTCAACCATAGCAATAATTCTGGATGGGTTTCTTGGGTGGTTTGTACAGTGCTTCGTACAGATCTAAGGTATGTGGTGGCGCTGTGGGCTAAACCGCAGAAGCCTGTGCTGCAGGGTTAGAAGACCAGCGGTTGTAAGATCGAATCCACATAACGGATTTAGCTCCCTTCACTTTGTCTCAGCTCCTTGCCAACCTAGCAGTTCGAAAGCATGCAAATGCGAGTAGATAAATAGGTACCACCTGGGTGGGAAGGTAAAATGGTGTTCCCTAGTCACGCTGGCCACGTGACAATGGAAACTGTCACCGGACAAGTGCTGGCTCTACGGCTTGAAAATGGGATGAGCACCGCCCCCTAGAGTTGGACACGACTGGACTAAAAATGTCAAGGGGAACCTTTACCTATGGTGATGCCATATATCAAAGTCAACCTTTAAAATCTACAAACACAGAGAGAGTACTTATCTCTCATAATTCACTAAAATTTTCTTCCAGATTAATATTATAGGGCTGAATATCTATGTATCAGTATACTAGAGGCTATATGACGGTTTATCAGAATTCCCAAAATATTAATGCATGTTCAAATGGAATGGTCAATCTTAGAGTTAGAATTAGAAAGAATTTCTAAAAAGATAATACACTGATATTATTTAACACCTCTGGCAAGTCATTTATACAATGGCAAATGTTGGAGGAGTAGAAAACGTCCTACACATACGGTGGCTGTGCCCACAGAGACACTATGTAAGATTAAAAACCAACCAATAACAATGTTGACAGAACTAAGCTTAATGTCCTTATACAACTGGAAAATAAGAAATTAAAACATTAATTCTACCTACTGTCTGTTGGGCAGTAAGTAGCCTAACCGGAAATGGCAATAGTCTGTGGAATCAGCTCAAAAACATCCTGATCAACAAAGGGCAGGATGGACTATTGCCACTGCCGTTCATGGATAAATTAGCAAGTCAAACAAGAGCAAATTGATCACGTTCTATAAGGAATGGTGTCTATGACCAGCAGTTCACCCCAACACCCCTCTCCCAGCCCTTGCAAGCCAGATGAGTGAGTGTAAACTGGGATAGCAGAATCTGGCCCACCTCACTTCAGCTTATAAATATGTCTAAATACATTCTTGGAAATAACTGGATAGGAAACTCCAGGTTGGTGCATCTGGCATTTACAAACTCTGTCCCACATGTGAAACATGAAGAGCATGGTCATGAAGCCCTACCTATCACATGTTCATTTTGCCCTTTTTGAGAAGGTGTGAAGACAGGCTTCTACTGGGAACCAAGCCTCATGCACCTTGCACCGGAAATTGATTAAAACATACCCCATAGGTCTGATCTGGAAGACACAGGTCAGCTTAGTCCTTTGGATAGATAGACACCCCCACCCCTCAGCTCTTCCCAACCATGCGAACCTTCTCCATTTGGCAAGCATCCTTCATCCTACCAGGGTGCCCATGGCATCAAAATCAAAACCATACTCTGCTCCAGGCATGGGGCAACCCTCTTCAGGAACACTGCTCTAGGGCAGAAGCAGTTCCTCGCCATTGCCTGAAGGGGTGGCCACACATCCTCATTCAGGGAAGTCCCTTTTCCAATTGATAGGCTGCCAAAGGACACTTGCCCTTTTAAAAGTGTCCCCTGTTTGAAGGACTGTCCAATCCAAGGGCGATATAAAGAAGATTAAGTGAGGAGGTCAAGGACTTTGGAATTCCTCATCTGCATTTAGCAGGAGCTGGACAAGTCTACAGGTCACCTCCCCCCCCCGCCTCCACCAGTATGCTGCCATGCAGTGCAATTAGGATATCATTCCTAATTTTGCACCTTTATGTCTGTAATGGCACATGCAGGTTTATGCAGATTCGCATAAACTTTGGTCTCCATTTTGGAGGTGCACATTTTCCTTTGATGTGTAATTGTCCACCCTGTGCTGGACACAACTGCAAAGGTTCACCACTTATGAAGTAAACGCTCTATTAGTCATGCCATATCTTTATCATCTGCAGGTCTGAAACGCTGTTACAGTATGTTGCTAGTATGTACCACTCCACACTACAACCCTAACCCATTAAAACGGATAGAACGGGAGTATCTCCTGCTGTGCTGTGTGGTTAATCATGAAAGCCTCCATATCTATGTTCATTTTCAGTTTCCAGAAATATGCTGGCTTTTTTAAAAAAATAAATCTTTTGAGGGTTTTTTTCCCCCTATCTAAAAGGTCAAACTGTCTAAGGTTAGCTAACAGCTCTTTCACTTTCCTTTTTTATTTATAGACCACAGAGAAGACAAAGTCCCGAAACATTCCTGTAAAGTAAGTGATTTTAATATCCATTGGGGGGAAAAAAATCAAGTTTAATGAACTTCAAGCAAATGGGCACAAGTAAAAAGTCTACACCGATGCAATAAAAATAGACACTGTGATTCAGTTTACTGGAGAGTCATCACCATAAAAAAAAGAAGAAGAAGAAGAAGAAAAGGTCCCTGATCAGCAAGGACAGGCTTTTGATTTTTCATAGCTCCATGCCCCTGGTTTACATAAATTTTTTGTTGTTGTGCCATCTATGAATAGCTGCTAATCTATGAATAGCTGCTAAATGATATTATAATCACATTCAGAGCAGTGATCTCCTAGCCTTCAGGGGGGAGAGGGCCCATGCTAAAAAGATTATATTTTTTTAATTGCAATCTCAGGGAAGGTCTGACAGAGGGGAAATAACATGGAGTATGTCGGACACATGGGAATAGCATTTTTGCACCATTGTGCCAGGGCTGTCCTAGCCTGTTGCCGAGAACTGCTTATGCATATGGAAAATGTTCCCATGTCTTTTGAAAACGAGATTGACAAGGAGAGTTAAGCTCTTTGCCAGACACCAGATTCAAAGGCATGCCACACTGTGTTTCGCTAATATTTTTTACTGCTTTCTGTGACCAGTAGAGACTTACTGTTTTGTTATTCCATGATGACGATGATGCATCCTGAAGTTCATAGCCTTTTGTTTCTGTCCATGGAGTTTTCTTGGCAAGGATACTGGAGTGGCTTGCCAGTTCCTGCTCCAGGTGAATCGTGTTTAGTCAGAACTCTTCATTATGACCTGTGACTACACATGAATGAATGAATGACTACCAATTGGATTTAAGTCAATGAATCAATGGTGTTTACACAACTACTAGTTGAACATGTCCCATTCGTTCATGAGATCTGATCCATGTGGAACTAAATTTGATACACCCCTATTAAATACAGTATATGACATTTACAGTCAACAGGCTAAACTCCATATTACATTATGTGTATGACAGCCTTAAAGCATCTGTAACTGTTTTCAGATATCAGTGGCAAGGAAGCCTAGTCAGGATCAGACCCATGGCATGAAGACGGAGGGGATAATGTTTGCAATATTGATGAAAATTGAGCCCACTGTATCTAGTGTATGTATTTTTTAAAATGTCTTCCAGTTTCAGACTGGGTCTAATATTCTCAAAAGTTTCACCATGATCTCAATTCCTTTCATGTGTACTCATGTGTACAGCAGAGATTCTTCTTGCACTTCACAAAATGATTACATGTCTCAGGTCTGAGACCTAAAGTTTTTTGGGGGAGCAGGGGAATTAAATCCAGCAACCAAGCAATGAGTCTCCATCTCTCTAACTCCATGTATAATTTATTCTCTACTGCTTTTCTGTTGGACTTCTTTTTGAATGTGCTCATGGATTTTTGCTTCAATTAGCTCCCAGGGGAGTAAATTAGGCATATTAATTGCATTCTGCTTGGCATTTCTGATACATTTTTATTAGTTTGCCCACCTGTGCAAAGTTGCTGTTTTCCCCTTCAAGCCGGAGTTCTTAGGACTGCAAGGCAATCCTCATTAATGAGATCGTTTTGAGGAGAAAAGTGGAAGCATCTCTCCGGCAGGCCTCAGTGTGCGTCTCCCTCTTCACTGTGCATCTCTGCTTTTTGTGACAGGGAAATTAGCTTAGGAACAGCCCTCTCATTTTCAAGAGGAAAAAGCCACAAGAAGGTTATGCCGCACGAATGCAGTACTTTTGCATCATTTCCTTCCACTATGATAGCACAAGTGTGAGAAAGCTTTCCAGTGGACCAACCTTTTGGGAAAAATAGTTTTCATTTCTTAATTCTCGATTCCAGGACCTTAAAACAGATTTTGTAAGTACAGTGGTGCCTCGCAAGATGAATTTAATTCGTTCCGTGGTTAATGTTGTCTTGTGAAAAATTCATCTTGTAAAACGCATTTTCCCATAGGAATGCATTGAAATCTAATTAATGCGTTCCTGTGGACAAAAAAAAAGTCAGAACAAAGTCAAATTTGGTTTACAAAGAGTTTATTAAGTGCTCTTTAAAGCCATACATATTGTGCAGATGATTTCAAAAAATTTCAATCAAAAAACTTTTAACTTTTTAAACATCATAGAAAAACATTTAAAAATCAGCAAACATGAGGCAGGAACAAAACATTCGTCTTGTGAAGCACAGCCATAGGAACATTTGTCTTGCTAGTCATCAACCCCCATTTCCAAAACCATTCATCTTGCGAGGTTTTTTGTCCTGTGAGGCATTCGTCTTGCGAGGCACCACTGTATATGGTTTCACTTGGTCCAGAAATGACAAGAGGACAATTTTTTGAGCTGTCTCGTGCGATATTTTCTGTGAGAATTTCGCACCTATGAGAAAGATTTTTGTACAAACTGCATTGCAAAGGTGTGCAGCTAAGCTGTGACAGCTGCTGCCTTGTTGTGGGGATTTTCAAAATTTAGAAGCCTTGGATGGGTTGCTTGGCTCTTTTGATTAAACGGCTAGTCTATCCATGCTTGTTCTCTGTGTTCCTGTGTCCGTGCTTTGGCCCTCCAGATGTTTTCACCTACAACTCCCTTATTCCTCTGATATTTCCCATGTTGGCTGGGGCATCTTGGATCTGAATTCCAAACCATAGCTTTCCCACTCCCGATCAATTACACTGTCAGTTTACATGGGTGGCCATGAGGCCCAAGGGGGTTAGCCAGTGTCCCAGAAGCACACAGATACTAGTGGAATTTCAAACATGTCCTACACATGTTTCCTTTTGGGATTTCATTCAAGACATGTTGATTGTGAATGGTTTTCCTGAAGGTAAGAACACCAGAGAATCGGTAGAAAACTGTGACAGTAGGAAAAGTCTTTGTGTACAAAGAAGCGCACTTACGTTCAACAAAGCAATGAAGGCTCATCTCCCTTTTCTGTGAGCATGTCCTGATGTTGTCATTTCTGTTGTGTTCTTTAACTCATCAGAAATTCCTCTTGAACGTTACGGTTTTGCTAACTGCATTCGGCAAAGCCGTTGTCACCACAAATGGAAGATGCACACATTCCTCTCAGCATATGTGACTTATCACATACATTTTTTAAAATGCAGTTCTCTTATTAAGACATATGTGATAGTATACTGTAAATGTGAATGGCTGTTGGCTAAAAGCCACGCACTAATAAGTTGAATTGAATCTAACTGGAGTTGACATCTGTTACAATATGAAAAGAGGGTGGGGAGATGAAAGGAAGGTTCTCAGTTGTCATTAGTGTAAAGAAATATCCTTTGCTGTTACGTGTTGCTGACATTGTGGCTGTCTGCTAGAATCACATTTCATTCAATGTTAAGGAATCATTTAACACCAAGTTTGAGCTTCCGAGCTTCGAAACAGAAGGCTTTGCAAGCATAAAAAAAAGCACGTCTTTGAAGAAGCAGCATTAGAACTGATGTCAAAATTAAACCACCCTCTTGCTTGTAATTCTTCAACCAGAGGGGGGAGAACTGCTCTCTGCCCCATCATCCTCAAAATGAAAGTCAGTGAGTACAAGAAACAGGGTCTTTTTGGAAGTGGTACACAGTAGAATGCATGACTGCAAGAGTTTAAATCTTTATGTTTTATTTTTGAAACAGGGTCTTTTTGGAAGTGGTACACAAACAGTAGAATGCATGACTGCAAGGGTTTAAATTGCCCACTTTTCTCTATGACAAGAATTCTTAACCTGTAGTCATCAGAACGTCCATGAATCAGATGGTTTTCAGAGTGTATGTGAACTGGGAGAAGAATAGGTATAATGCAGACTACTTCTCTTTCCTTCCTGTTCATTTCAAAAGTAGCTTAGTGAACATTTTATAGGCCGTAGGAATAGCCAACTGCATCTCCTAAACCAATGATGGCGAACCTTTTTGAGCCCGAGTGCCCAAACTGCAACACAAAAACCAACTTATTTATTTCAACGTGTCAACTCTGCAATTAAACCTGAATACTGAGGTTTTAGTTTAGAAAAAAAAACAACTGCCCCTGTACTGCAAGGGTTAAATGCTTCTCTTTTTTTTCCTCCCTGGGGGGGTATTAACAGAGAAACACTTACCAGTCCTCCAATCCTCTGTCGGGCTAGACTAGTAATGGCCGTATTCCCTCCCGCTGCTGTCCCACTGCACCAGCAGAGGGGAGTGCTGAAATCTGGGATCGGAGGATGGGTAAGTATTTCTTGATGGCGACTTAATGCTCATGTGCCCACATAGAGGGCTCTGCATTCCAGCTGTGGCACACGTGCCATACGTTCGCCATCACTAAACCATCAAGGAAAGATGACTGGCCATTACAACGTATTTCCGGAGAAGGGCCTTGGCTTGTTTTGGAAGGTGGATTCACCCCCCCCAAAAGAAGCAGGTAGTAAGTTCTCATATAGGGGAAAGACTTTAATAAGGTGAAAAAGTGCAAAAATGGGGCCAGGATAACCAGTCCATTATTCTAGAAATTAAAAGTGCAATTGGCATAAAAACCATTTGTGTTTTTTTCTTTATGGAGATTTAAGAGACCATACCGGATAGTCCCAGGGCTAGGAAGCAAGCCGTGGGACATGCTGTGCCCTGCATTAGTTCAGTCACTTTTCTGTGGCCAGGTCTGAAAACCCACAACAACACAGCCGCACAGCTAAATCAAAGTATGGCTTAGTCTTCCCAGTGCTTAGATGGAAGGCCACCTGGCAGATCCATCCACATATATCCCCTTGAGATGAATAATGGAGCTCAATAAGGTGTGCCACATACCTATGCCATACTAATGCTTCTTTCCGCACTAGCAAATGCAGGAAATTACTTTGATGAGTTTAAGGTAGTATTAGGAAGGAATTATAAGGCATGCATCTCCTAAACGGCTTGTCAAGAAACATAAATCCCTGTTGATGATATCACGTAAATCCCCCAATGCTGTGTGTTGTTTTTTTAAAAAAAATGTAAATTCTGGTTTTTGCAAAGTTCATACAATTCCACTATCCCCACGTGGCTGTAT